TACTAACTGTTTAATGCCACAATTATTCTAAGCAAAGATTTTATACTAATTGCTCTTGTTTACCTTGCATGTAGGAGTGTTGCCATCAATATTGGAAAGAGTCAGGTACTGCTGATTACGGAGAATATTTTGTTAAAATTGAATCAAGCAATGAGTGCAATGGATACATTGAAAGAAAGATTCATATTCGTTCAGACAAAGATGGTAGTTCATGGGATGTGATACAATTTCAAGTTACAGATTGGCCTACAGACGGAATTGTTAGAGAGCCGCTTACTGTCCTACAAGTTATTGATGATGTTATACACAGACAACAAAAGATTGGAGGAGGACCAGTAGTGGTACACTGTAGGTAAAAAAGGGAATTGTACTGATAGACTCATGATCATTTATTGTTTGTGTGTGTGTGTTTGTGTGTAGTGATACAGTGAGTCGTTCAGGAGTTTATTGCTCAGTGAGTATTGCTCTAGAACAGTGTAAGGCAGAAGGTGTAGTGGATGTGTTTCAAGTGACTAAAGCTATAAGAAGGACTAAACCAGGAGCTGTCACTACACTGGTATATACTACATATATCATTGTGTATTAATAATATTGTTTCTTCACAGGAGCAGTATACCTCCATATATGATGTGATTGATATGTTCTTCAAACTGCACAGCACATATGCTAACTTTCAGTAGATTTAACAGACTATATAGTTTAGTTAGATGTATGTAGTTGCTGCATTATTAATTCATTAGTATTAACAATGTTTGTTTAAAATAGCTTTTGTTATCATTGTAGGTAATAGTAATGTGTAATAGTAACAGTTAAGTGAATTTAAAATAAAACAATCAATTCATTGTAATAGTAATAGCTGTATAATTATTTACTGCATCAAGTTTGATGGTTGAAGTGGGAAGTCTCTCAAATGTAATGATTACCGGCTTGTTAACATTAGTTACTGATAATTCTGATGGTATAGCATCAATGGTATTAAGTATCCTTTGAAAAAATTGATAAAAAAATTATAAACACATAAGTATGTCTTTACATACACATTTTAACATTATAAAAGCCTCCTGACAGGATTTTTCCAGGAAGCATCATAAGTGAGCTAAAAGGATGTTTCATGCATGAGCTGACACAGTCCATGGCTTTTTGAGCAACTTTAAAAATTCATAAAAGAATCCAATTTTGATCGGAATCAGTTCCCACTTTCTGCAAATGTATGTGTAACAAAAAAAAATTATAAAATGGAGAATTTTTTTTAATATTTGCAAAAATTAGCCTGAGGTCATGTACTCTAGTACAGGGACCTTGGCCCAATTTCAGAGCAACTTTAAAAATTCTTTAAAAATTTATTTTAGATTGAAACTTGTTTAAAGTTTCTACACAATACAAGTACATGCATGTAAATTATAATAAATTATTTCCTTTCAATTTTGGTAATATATTTGGCCCAAGACCATGTACAAGGATCTTGGCCTAATTTTGGAGCAACTTTAAAAATTTTTTAAATAATCAATTATGATCAGAATCAGTTCAAACTTTCTACATAACCTAAGTACATGTATATGCATCATAAAAATATAAAAATTAAGAATTTAATTTTGGTAAAATTTTGTACATTTTGACTTTCAAAAGGCTCAATCACAATAATAATAATATTATTGACAATTTTAAAGTAAGATCTGGTTAGCTATAATAAAAAAATTATTAAAATACACTTCATTAATTGCTGGGGTTAATTTCAAGTGCACAAACTTAAATAAAAATCTTGTACATGCAATAGTAATGGAACAATCTTATTGGAGAAAGAGTGGAGATAAAATTTAAAAATTGTCACAAGACTAAGGAATACATAAGTATACCATAAGGAAGAAAGTCAGTCATAATGGGTATATGTGAATGCAATAGTAAGCCAATAATAAGTGTCTAATTTATTGAATAAAAGATAATTAAAGGCTGAATTCTATGTACCAATATTAAAATATAAGGCCTTTTGTAGTGCACCTATGGCAGTAGAATGGACACATATTATGTGCTTTAAATATTATGACACAAGTATAGGAAGAGATAATAGAAAGGATAATTTTTTTAGGGAAACAGTATATAACAAAGAGTGGTCAAATGCCTGTATGGATATAACTCATTGAGTGAATAAAATTAGGTAAGTACCTCAAAATGGTTGAGAAAATGTGAGCTACAGATATAACCCTCTACTTTTAATAAAGTGGGATTAAACTAATGTGGAAAAAGAATAGATACATAATAGCATGCATTGTACATAAAAGAGCATGATCATGCATGGTGACAATTATACAGTACATGATACTAATACTTAATGCAATAAGTGGTATGTGTGATCCAATACTGAATATCAACTACTCCCCCAGTGCATAAAATTTTTTTCACAAAATCAGAGAGCAGCAATATAATTTGTAAAATGTAAGTATGTACATGTATACTACATGTATGTCATAGTAGGAATAACAAAGATACAATAAAAGGTATGTTAATTAAGTTACAAGTCAAATAGAGAACATGGCTGAGATACAACCATATCATCAATGCTTTACAGTAGCTCCAGTAACAACAGACTTTTCTATTGATGAAAAGATGATAATGAGTGAGAGAGAAGAAGAGAGACATACTAATAAAATTGTGAGCATCACTTTGCACGCATCATGGTAACCAGTAAAATAGTCGAAAGGAGAAATAGAGCTACATAAATCACTATCAATACTATCAAGTTGTACAAGAAGCTAGATGAACGATTACTTATAAAGGTATTATCAAGGTATAATAAACAGTGATTGTGGTCCAGTATAGTAGGAATGGATAGACTAGTTTATGTGACACTTACAATACAAGGTGAATATGCATAGGAAGATACATAACAACAAGTACAAATGTACAAGTGCAACAGTACATGTATTATTTACAAAAATATCAAACAATGTCTGTACTTACAGCAGCAGCAGCATAGACATACATCATGTGGCCATTACTTTGAGAGAAAAGAATTAATTGAAACTCATAGGGCAACAGACAAACTATAGTATGTAATTATATAATAGGCATGTAATGTATGTCAGGTGGTAAAGGGTTGAGGCAGTTCTAAAAATGACTGAAGATATGTGGATGTCTAGCTGGAGATACAACAAAAACATAAAAATTATAATGTTGAATGGGTAAAATATGAATGGGTTACAAGGTTTTATACAGGCAAAAGAATTCAACACACTTCACCCTAAGTTTAATAATTTTGATTAAAAGAAAAAGAGGATTTACCTAATATAAAACCTGTTCTTCATCTCCTCTCTCTTTTTAGTCACCACTGTAAGTGTGTCTGATGGCATCATTTATACTATTGGTAGTTATCAGTGTACATGTTTGTCTGGATATGAGCTTCATAGTGATGAAAGATCATGCAATGGTAAATATAAATAAGAATAAATTAACCTTTTAACTGAATGTGATAGAAATTAATGAGTATGAAAGGCTACTTGATAATTGCCAGCAAGAATGCATATGTATCATTGTAGAAGAGATCATAAATGAGGAAGCTATGACCTATAATTAATAAAAATGATTGAAAGAAGATGGATATGCTGGCTTATTTGGTACAGTCTCTCATATCTTCTCAGTCTACTATAAGTTACTGTAGGGTGACTTTTTTGAGGGCTGTAAATTTTGCAGATTTTGTAATTTTTTAAAAATTCACAAAAATTGCTTCCACGAAAATCAAACTTTAATAGGGTACAAGATGGCAGATGGCATAAATTTGCAAAAATTAAATCAGCAAAATCAAAATTCACAAAATTTACAGCCCGTACCCTACAGTATTAGATACAACACCTAACAAAAATGATCAAAGGATAACTGACAGTATTAACAATCCTTTATGACAACATAAAATGTCATTATCTTTAATAATGTAATGTCTCCAAAATATTACTTTAGCCAAACAACAAGAATAAGAACAAGAGCAGAACAGATAACACAACGTAGACAACAGGCCAAAAATTAATTAAACAAGAGAGGAATGTCACAAACTAACATTATTACAATCATCATTCAACATAAGAATGATAATAATGAGACTCGTATACATTACAAAATACCAAAACTAGATGAAAAGCAACTGAAATAGGCACCCAATTTATGTAACTAGTGACTTACAATCAGCTGTGTCAGTCTTTAGTGGAGAAGGGATAGGACACATTGGACAGACTGGTATTGAAGAGCTAATTAGTATTATTGACTAATTAAACACCCATGTCAAGCAGCTCAGGGGAAATGCATATAAGGTGGATTCTGTGAGAGTGCCGGAGTAGGACTTTGCCTGGAAAAGGTCAAGTAACTCAGAGCATGGATATGCTGGAGGAGATATGATAAATTCTCTGGGAGAGAAAAACTGATAGCTATAGGTATCTATTACTGCTATTAGTACTCATAATGATATTGATATGTGTACAAAAGATGGATCAATAAAATAGCAAACAGGTAATAAATAACATAATGGTTAAGATTAACACAGTTATTGTTAGCAAATGAGTGTGCTGTTTAGTAATAGTTCTAAAAGAACAAAACAGCATTATAATATGTTGTTCAGGTACAAATGAAACATTAGAGAAACCACTAATCACTCTCTTTTCCTTGATTATGTCATGATAATTATTTTTCTTGATAAATGACTCCAGCTACTACCACAGTCAACGAATAGAATAGCAATATATTTGCAGGATAAGTGAGGGCTTTATCTTACAGTGTGCATTAAAGTTAACTTAATAAAGAGAAGAGGTAAAGGACACACTTAGACAGAGCAAGTGAGATACAACCACATGTAGTGGGTTTGGTAAGACTCCTTTTAGGAATCACGTGAATGAATATTTGGATTTTATATCCATTGGCCACCATCTTGTTTTTTGATCACCAATACATTTGTGATGTCTGGTCAGCATCAACTCTGCTTAGCATGGCAATTGCAATAATAGTAATCTAATGCTAAGAAATGTATTATAAAGCTAAAACTGTATTACACTAGATCTACAGTATAGTAAGTTAACAACTTTGTATCACACATTGATAATATAATTTGATACTTTCTCTATATTCAAAGGTCATAAATTGAGTCATCAGTTGCTGCATCAGGTGGTGCTTCACATTCTTCATATGCTCGTTCATTCTCTTTACTTGGTACTTCAGTCTTATGAAGATCATATGGTGTACACACTTGCATTGCAATATCTTCATCAGTTCTATCATACAATAAATGTATACAGTTAGTAATATAGAAATTAATGCTAACTTTGCTTGTGCAGTAAGAAGACCTTGCATTCTAAATTATGAAAAGTAAGAACTCCATACTTATCATGTGCATTAAAAAGTACCTTAGGAAATAGTAAACATGAACAATAACAATGACAGTCAGTAGAATCAACCATATACCACCTAGTACACCAACAGCAATAACACCACCACTACTGGTTGATGTACTGATACATGTACATGGTGTTGGACTTGAAGGTACTGTATCCATTATTAAATTTAAAATAAACAGTCACATAAATTATAAACATAATGGTCTTACTATGTATTGACATTGTAGGTGATTGCAGTGTAAGTGTCTCACTAGTAATAAATGTCCATGCACCATATCCATTATCAGTGTATGGACGCAAACCAAAAATATAACAAGTGTCACTATAGAGACCAGTGATAATAGTAAATGTACTACCACAGGAAACATTTTGATTTAATGCAAGAGTATTAATGTAATAAACATCAACATCATCTACGATTGAACAGTTACCAGACTGAAACATATGGTATCCTATCTCATATGTGATAATGGGATGGTCTGATGGAATATAGCTAGGTACACTCCATGAGATAACAGCCCATGTAGTGTCCATGATACTGGATACCGACTCAACTGGACTAGATACTAAATAAAGTAACATAAGCATTCTCATATAGCTGATTACTATATACATACCTATTCCTATCTCAACTACAATAGAATCACTAAAGGGACCTTTTCCAACAGAATTCGTAGCAGCTACACTGATGTTATACACAGTACCAAATACTAGATCATTTAATATGATATGTCTCTCAGTACTGGTGAGGTTGTATGTGATACTATTGTTACTGATCCTCACTGTATAGCCTGTGATTAGACCATTACGCCTAGAGCAATCGACTTCATTCCAAGTGAGATTATTAATTGGTTGTAATAGAGATACAAATTGAGGCACTCCAGTCGTAACTATATCAATGGAATATGCATTAGTTATTTCAAATAAAGATTATACACACCTGCTCGGAGAGTAGTATTCTCAGTTAAACTAGGATCAGATCCTCCTAGTACATTACCAGCTCTCACTGTGATGGTATAGTTCATACCACTGTACAGACCTATTAATGTATAACTATATGTTGCAGTGGATTCATGAGGAGCAACAGAGACTGTATCATTTACTGATGATAACTGGGGACAAGATGGAGTATAGGAGATGGTGTAGTATGTTACATAGTTGTCACTACTAGGAATAGTCCAGTTCACTGTAATACTAGTGGTTGAGACATTCGATACTGAGAGACTAGTTACTGGACTAGGAACTAGAACACATATCAATTGCACTCTTTAAATGATAATAGCTCACCATCAAATTTAAATACTGTTACTGTACTATTAACTGAAGGAAGATCTATATATGAGTACACACTGATGGTATAGGTACTAATTGATAAGAGATTTGTTAGTACAACTTCATCTTCACTGGTAGATACTACATTCCTGGTTACACCTCCAGTAGTATACTCAATCACATATCCATTAGCCTTTGATGAATTGGTCCAGTTCACTTTGATACTAGTTTCATTTAATATAAACCCTTTTACTTGATTAGGAGGACCATTAGGAGCTGGGAAAAAAACAAAATTCTCTTACAATTGATTAAAGTATAATCATACCATGTAATTCCACAGATTTACTGTAGTTGACTCCTCCAATTATTGCTATACAGGTAACATTAACTGACACTCCCAGTGGATCAGGATATACCAGTAGTGTGTTGTTGTATGTCAGGACATCAATTGATGTATACATTGAGTTACTCTTCATCACTCCATTCACTAACCAGTAAACATCAGTTGATGGATTTATATCAGTAGTTGTGAGACAATCAATACAATATTGAGTTCTATTGAGTTGTGCAATGGATGAGACTAGTGTCCAACTGATTGAATTAATAACTAAAAATACATCGACAATGTTACAAGTACATTAAAAGGTTCATAATAGCAATACCTGGTAAGGTTTGTACACTGATTGCACTACTAGCAGGTCCCAGTAATTGTTGATATGCTCTGACTGTGATGCTATAAGTTGTTCCTCCTCTAAATCCATTTAGTGTGATTGTATTATTATTACTACCCTCCACCTGTACTGTCTGCACAGTGTCTGTGTCACTAGTGACATTGACTACATATCCATCAGCATCAGATGAATCAAGTGCAGTCCAACTGACAGTGATAGTGGTAGCTGTCTTGTTGACCTCAGTAAGAGAAGAGGGAGCAGTGTCTGGAACTGAAAGTATAAGAAAATCTAAATGATATGTAAATTTTCGTTACCTTGTATAAATGTGTTACGTATTCTAGTAGGTTGATTGGTTACTTCTACTATACACTGATACATTTGATCTCCAGTGGCTGATTGACTGATTGATTCACTACTGACAGCCTCTCCATCCCATGTGATGTTAATAATATATCTCATTGTGTACATATTACTATCCATGACAATACCGATACAATGGGAATCATCTGTTCTATCATCACAGTCAATGTAATTAGCAAGTGCAGTAGTACCAATGTTCATTCTAATATCATACTCAGGAAATCCAATTTTGATACAATTTAGTTTGTATGCTTGAGGATATACTGTCATATCAGAAGGAAGATCAGCAACAGTAAATGATTGTATCTGTGCAAATTCTAAAATATAAATTATTATCTTTGTAAGTGCTTATAGTGTCTTCTTACTGAATATATTAGCAAAGATGATGTTAGTATCAGGATCTGAGCAATTGGTGGGTAGACAACACCTGTACCAGCCATCACCAGATGGCTCAAGAAAATTCTTGCCTAAATTTATGTGAACACTAAGACTAGCACCTGACCCATTAGTACATTGAATATTTGAATTATTGCCAGGACAAGCAACTTCTCCATTGGGACCAACCCATTGTCCACCATCAAGAATAGTACCAGGCAATACACACTCTAGGGGATTTGGTTTGATGCTACTATCTGGAAAATATGATCCATTAGCAAAGCAGTTTCCTTCAAATGCTAAGTAGACACCTAATAAATTAATGCTTGTAATGTTGTAGCACATTATCAAATCAAAATACCTTCATGCTGACAATGAGTGAATACCCTGATTGTACTACTAGCAGGTCCCAGTAATTGTTGATAGGCTCTGACTGTGATGCTATAAGTTGTTCCTCCTCTCAGTCCATTCAGTGTGATTGTATTATTACTACTTCCCTCCACCTGTATTGTCTGCACAGTGTCTGTGTCACTAGTGACATTGACTACATATCCATCAGCATCAGATGAATGAAGTGCAGTCCAATTGACAGTGATAGTGGTAGCTGTCTTGTTGACCTCAGTGAGAAAAGAGGGAGCAGTTGATGGAACTATATATAGAGTGCCATAAAATTATGTTATATTATTTTAGTTACCTGTGATTGTAATTGAGCGATTTCTCATCACTTCACTGGCATTTAAATAAAATCTATACTCATGATCTGCATAGTTCCTTGATAGACTCAGTATTCCACTATTGATAGTATCTCCATCCCACGTAACAATCAGAGTATATTCCCATCTTCCATTACCTTTATCTATTGCAATTCCATTATCATTAGTACAATTGTATTGGTATTTATTCACACTGCAAAGTTCAATGCTAGTACTAGCTGTCTCATAGTACCAATCAGCAGTATCAATATCATATTGGCCAATTTTAACAGCACGTAGTGTGTATGTTTGAGGAAGAACTGTTATATCAGAAGGAAGATCAACACTGATATCTTCAATCTGTGCCAATACTACAGCAATAATACAGCATACAATTAGTCTTATATGCAAAATGAATAGCTTACTATATATATTAGCAAAGATTATGTTAGTGTTTGAATCTGAACAATCAGTTGGTAGACAACACTTGTACCAGCCATCATCAAATAGTTCAATGTCTCCATTAATATAAAGGCCAACAGTAGTATCAGGTGAAGACATGACATTACAACGAAGAGGATCAGTGCTACAGTCAATTGATGATCCATTATTAGTAACCCACTCTCCACCATTCAGAGTAATACCAGCTAATACACACTGGATACTGTTACTGTATCCTTTAATGTCATCATCTAAGAAATATGATCCATTAGTATAACAGTTTCCATTATGCATCAGGTAGATACCTATACAAACATATAGTTCTTATTATACACATCTATAGTGTCTTACCTGAGGAAGGTGGACATTGACTAATAATTTTACTGACACTCAACAAGAATACAACCACTAGTACTGACACTGTCATCTTGTCTATAAGCTGATGTGAGTCTTTGGTTCTCTTCAATTTTACTTACCATTAATAAGGTAAACCCTGCATAAATGAAAATAAATATACAAATTGTGTTGTAATGTCAAAGTAGATTATACAAAACCAAAAGATAAACACATCAGGCAAAAACTTTTTAGCATAATAGAACAATGTATTGCAGCTATTGCTAGGAAGTGTTTGTGTACTTAAGTAATGAATTTACATTAAGACTGAATGTTTGTTATTCGAATGTAATTGGAACATAATAGCAAGAGGCTCCTACCTACATGTACTTCTTTTTTCTCTTTCATTTAGGGAATATGTGATCAAGTAAAAATATGTAAAAACATGATACTTTTTATATGGCAAATTCACATCAATCACACAATGTTGTATAAATGATAAAGCACATAATTATTAGCTTAGTCAATAAAGCAGCTACCGTTAATTAATGAGTGTATGTATAAGTCATCATGAAAAGACAATAAATTCAATCTAAAAAGGTATTCAACAATATATGCTTTCACATGGTATCTATTGCTTTCAATGATTCAGTGTTGCCATACAACTCCAGTTATCCATCATACATTGTTTTTATTGCTCCCTTCCTTTTTATGTGGTAATCGATACAAAGTCAGTTATATTACATTGACATCACAACTGGATGCCTGCAAACCAAAGGATTAATACATGGACATTAAACATCTATGCCTATAGCCTTGACAGTGACAGGTCAAGCTGAATTATTTTGAAATATGCCATAAAATGTGAGACAGATAGAATGACTTGAACATAATGTACATAATAATTCCAACTGGCAAGCAGTATAAAGAGAAATAATAACTAATGAGTAGTCTAGTTAGAGATAGTTTAGAATCAGAGCAAAGGGGGAGAGCTCCACTCATTTTCATTCCAACAGTTAAAATAACCCGAGAGCATGAATTTAATTACCTTTGATAATGATAACACCAAGCCAGCTGTGTAGAGAATAACAACTTAAGTGGCCAATACTAGGAATTTTTGAGTTGACTGAGCTTGATGAGAAATCATCCAAAGGGCCAATCTCGATTATGACCTCCTCTTAGTGCTGATAGTGGGCAACTCTGGTGGAGTAATGGCAATCATCTTCCAAAACAGCAATGTCAGGTCTAGCTGATATTGGTAAAATATTCACTGTATTAAGTCATCATCAGGCCTCCAATGATGACATCAAATCTTATGACTTACACAAAAATTATCCCGACCTGAACTTCTCTTAACAAAGTGTAAATGCCCTTACTTAGGTCAGAGGCTGAACTAGCCATATGAACCAGGCTTGGCGAAAGGTAGATCTACTCCAGAAAACAATCCATTCTCTGGAGAAAACCGGCAATCGGACATCCCTTGAAAAAGGTAAAGTAACTCAGCGAGGGCATGCATTTGGGAAGGTCATACCATAACAATCAATGTATAGTATAACAAGATAGGCCCAGGGTCAGCTAGTGAAAGTAGACTATGGTCATGGGATCCCTTAGCCTAAACAGCACCCAAAGTATGGAGTGGCCACTGAGAGGACATATCATGTACCTACAACAAAGAAAGCAATCACAGTGAACATCTGGATGAGGAGCCACTTTCTTATACAGTAAAATCACAGCAGCAGACTGAGCAAAGGATACTGTATGGGTACAAATTTTACAGAGAATTAATTTTTACTATTTTTACTGTTAGCACTAATTTGTAAAGTATCAAGCCCATGAAATTCATAACACAATCACACATTAAAAAATTAAAACACCATAATAATTCATTTCACATCTATCGTAAAAGTTTAACCCCACAAAATTCTATTTATAAAAAAAACTTTAAATAAAATTGGATTTTAAAATAAAAATTTGAATTTAAAGACCCCTATGATGCAAATCAAAAGCTCAAAATCATCATAAAATTTGCTAGCACAAGGAATACACTTATCAAACTAATTGTAAGTAGTTTTAACTATAAAGGTACTGTAGCAGTGGCATCACATTGCAATTGGAAGTTATGAGACAAGAGACACTTCTAGTAATTCTGAGGAGTAAATACATGTAATTATGACAAAGTTCAGATTTCAATGATCAGTGTTAAGTCTTTAAGATTTCAATGGACCAATTTTGAACTACCTACAGGGTCAGTTACATACAAAAGTGTTATAATACACTGTTATTGTTATTATTACAGCATACTGTATCTCTATTATAATTAATACTACAAAAAAATTTTATTTAATCACTATTACTATCACAATACAGCAGAGTCCATCAAGTTAATACAAATATGTCAGAGAATTCTCCATTTCAATTACAGACTTCAGTACATATACATGCACTTACGTTGTGTAGAAAATTTGAGCTGATTTAAATCAAAATTGGATTTTAAAAATATTTTCAAAGTTGCTAAAAACTGAGCGAAAGCACCTATACTATAGCAGTCTTGCATAGCCAGCCTCTCCCACTCCCTCCTCGCAGTGGGAGGGGCTGGCTACACAAGACAAAGTACAAGGTCTCGGGCCAAATTTCATCAAAAATAAAGTTGTAAAATTCTTTGATGAACATACGTGTACCTATGTTACGTAAAAAGTTTAAGCTGGTTCCTATCGAAATTGAATTTTTTATGAATTTTAAAATTGATTAAAAATCCCTCATGGCCTTTGGCCAAATTACAGCAAAAATAAGAAGTTCAGGACTTTGAATGGAACAAAAGGAGCTCAAAACTGTTTAAACTTTAATGACAAAAGGCTTTTGTTGTTTTTTGTATGTAACTATTTACACATGTAATATATTACTTTTCATGCAATTACTGCCTTTTTATTTAAGTTTTCCATCTCCTGTATAGTTATTGTAACAAATCTAATCTTTACTATTACCAATACAACTACGTTATCTCATTACCCCATCCCTGCCCACAGGCTATAACAAAGGCACAATTATTTCAAATTGGGTATGTGTGAACGCAAAGTAGTTGTATAAAAGTCACTATTTGTCATGATGTGCCCATGGTGGCAATAGAATGGACTCAACACAAGGTGATTGCAAGGAAGGGGATGAAATTAACAAAATCTGTAGGGTAGCGTGCAGTGTAGCAAAGAGTGGCAAAGTACATGTATGCATCCCCTTAGGTCAGGTAATAAAGGGTTTACCTTAAAATGATTCAGGAGATGTGGCAGCTCTTGAGACAATCCTCCAATTCTCATTGAAGTGGGATGAAACTGAGTGAGAGAGATGTACTGTAAAAATAGCATGAGTGGTGTAGAATGTATTGTACAGCATGGTGACAGTACAGAATCCAGAAATTCAAGCATCATCATAGAATGCAACAAGTGGTGTGTGTGGTCCAATTTTCTACCCCCATGCTCTTTTAGGTTAGAATAGGTAAAACACAAGTACATATTCTGCATGTACACCATACTATTATGAATCACGAAGACATACTAAAACAGGCATACTAATTTACCTATTTAATAGAGAACGTAGAGGCATGGAGATGGAGATACAGCCACATCACCAATGCTCCAGTAACAATAAACTTTTCTATTCATAAAAGGCAATAATGAGTGAGAGCACATGTACTTAATAGTGTGTGACAAACCTCTCTTCCTTTTGCACAGCTGGTTTCTTAGGAGCTGAAAAATTACTCATTTTAACTTGTACCTCTGCGATAAAAAAAAGTTTACATGTACATGCTCTTGCAACAAATCACTTTAATTTCTATCATACCTGTTTTAGTGCAAATGATTTTTGCAATGAAATTTTAGACATTAAACAGAAAAAAATTAAGCCAAATTAATTATTTGAAATTATGCTATAATTATTGTAACTCTAAATTAATGTACAATATGTTTTTCAGGGGCCAGAATCATGTAGTAATTGCAATGTAATTGTGCTATACTTATGTACATGTACATGTACGCATGTAAGTACAATGTAAACACAATTTTTATTATTAAATGGAAACCGTACGCACCTTTCTCTTTCTTCTTCATTTTCTTAGACTCTTAATTCGTCATAAGTAAGACAGGATTTGTGTCAATTCATTGATAACAATTTCATTTGTCATTAATGTAGCCTGACACTAATAATAATGAAAGATATAAATAACAACATTAATGTGTACACCTATAATGCACAGGTGCATTCTAGGATTACAACAATACATGTACATGTATTGCATATTGAGTGTCTAATATACTATCGATGCATGATTTATTCAAAAAGCTACAATTTAAAAGGATACAAATAAGTACATTTTCATAAAAATCATTCCTGATACATGCACAGTGATTCACTTCATGGACTCACTCTACCCACAAAAAGTATTTGTATGCTACACAATTGTCTAGCATGTCTACACATGTACAGTACATAAATACAATGTAACCTTTACCTCTAACATTGGGCAATCAGCTTTCCTTTTTATTAAAGTGGTAGGAATATCACTCTCCTCATATTCATCATCCAATTCAAACACATATATGCCTAACAATATAAATAAAGTATAAATAGGCTATAACTATTTATTTAAAATAATCTTGGGAATATCTAGGAATTACTATCTTAAGAAGAATATAAAATTCATGTACATGTACATCTAGCAACTTTGAAGCATTAGAAGGTAAAGTGACCTTAGGCCTATAATGAGATTCATTAGATGTAACGTAACCTTTTCTTGTCTAAAGTGTTGACAGCCAGCCACAAGCCACACCAGATTACTTACAAGTGCTCACAGCTGCATATAAGCAATTAGCAAGTTCTTATTGAACTTTAGAAGTGAAATACCCAAATACCAGAGTTAAAACTGGACTCACCCAAGTCCCAGCCCATCCATCAGCTAAGTTGGAGCTACATGCCCTGCATGTAGGTGTACAAGTAAGTCTTTGTGAGAAGAAATATAATGCCAGCTACAGTATATGGATCCAAGGTGGTGGAATACCGTATAGCAGGTATATTTCGTCTGGAAAAATGTTCGTTCTAAGCAGGATTAGAATTTTTGTTCTGAGCAGCCATTTTGGACATGTGGCATTGAGGAAACGCCCTTTATGTTTGGAAAATGTTCGTTCCACAAGGAATGAGAACAACATTAAACTCAAATGGAATATACCCGCTATATGATAATCTTAAGAATATTTAAACTAATATTCTATATAGTTTCAGTAACAAACATTACTGTATCACTTCATTCACATTATTAATGAAACTTTTGCAAGTATATGTAGTATCAAGGAAACAGCAATCACTTATGTAGTGTATATGTACAAATGGTGAAAATAATGCACAAACTACATGTACATCACATACATGTACACATCATACAGTACTAACCGTTTTTCCTGGTAGAAAGAATTCATTCTTTTCCGGGGCATTTGTTTGAAAGACAATAGGACGTATGTTTTTTGCTATTGAATACACAAATTCAAGTAACAAAAAGATAACTGAGTCCTAACCTAGTTTTGACTTGATTGATCCCTCCTCACTAACACTGATAGATCTCTTCTTTTCCTTTTCTTCTTTCTTTCTTCTCTCGTATTTCTTAATCTCTTCAGCTTCTTGATCGCGTACCACCATTTCACTGTGAACTTCCATAAGAAAGAATACATGACATATTATTCTCCGATTCTGATCAACCTTTGATTTTTTATGAAATTATAAAGTTACTCAAAAACGAGGCTAAAGTCCCTGTACTAGTACAGGATATCTGGGCAAATTTCCACAAAATTGACCGGGTGAGAATTCATCATTTTAATTATTCTATTGGATACATATACATGTTCTTATGTTGTGTAGAAAGTTTGAGCTGATTTCTATCAAACTTGGATTTTAAAACAATTTTAAAGTTACTCAAAAAGCTATGTATGCATGTACATGTATGTCTATTGCAGTGTCCGTCAGCTCATGAAGCTCATGCTGTTTAGCGCACTTAGTGTTCCCACAAAGCATGCTAAGTATATATGCTTGTATGTACGTGTATAATGATATAATGTAGACATTGCACCTACATGTGCATGTAAATTATCAGCATGTAGAGTGCACGTAAAGCATGTACACACATAATTAATTGTACAAGGCTAATGACGTGAGCAAAATGGTAAATGTTTCAGCATTGTAGTATTGCAAATAAGGAAGAAACTATAATTACTGTACATGTACCTACATCTACAATGTACATGTAGAGTAGATTACAACCTCTCACATACAGATACATGTACATGTAAAAATAGTTAGAGTACAATTAATGTCTATACTAATTTTTTAGCAAGAAAGGCAAAATCTCTTAAAATACAATGTACATGTACATGTACATGTAGAAGAAACAAATGGACTGACGGGTAAGTGTTAGGTTGAAATAGCTCTTCAGAATTAATTCACGTAAACTTGTACATTAATAATAAATGTATCTAGCAACATTTAACTCATGCACTAATGTTCTAAAAATTTTCTTTCAATAAAGCCATGTACATTAACCTACAAGTATGTACACGTGTAGCTGTCTATGCGCACTATACAGGTAATTTTGAAGGGAATAAATATCAACAATTTGCTAAATTCTTGGGTTTTTTAATTTAATTTGGCAGCTTTGTGGCTATGTGTCATTGGCCATGCACATAATGGTTTGAGATGATGAGTTTTATGACTATCAAATTGCCAGATTTGTCATAATTCCCCCCCCCTCTAAAATTACCATGCATCTAAATGAACATGTACATGTATTGTATAGCTTTATCACACCTTCTGTAAGAGTGCATAGTCTAATCCTTGACAAGATGAGTGTGTTCCATATCACCATGGAAATATTTACAATTGGCAATGAGCTGCTTTCTCTTCTCTGACATCCTTGAACTAATAAATAAATAAATAAATAAATAAATAAATAAATAAATAAATACAGCGTAAATAAAAATACAACCAATAAAAAGTAGAGTATGAAATCATATTTTAAAGAGAATTTCAGTCAATTTGTACTTTAATAATGATAGTCATTTGTCAGTATTACCACATGCACACATGCACAATGGCATATCATGGCCAAACTAAAACTAGCCATCACCAAAAGTTTAGCGATACACAAAATTTCCTTCATTCAAAATCAAAGCATCTCAGGAATTTAAATTACTAACGAAACCCTCTGATTTAAATGTAACCTTTTTTGATTTGATTGGCTATGTGGTGTAATATATTCTATGTATAAATCATACATTAGGCATACAGTGCTCTGGTGGTTTTGCCTGATGTAGTGTGTCATTGCTAACTGGTACATCACTACCTATACCATCTCTCTTTTATTTTGCCTATAATGAATAGGATAATAATGCACATGTTATGCATGCACATGTTTACAATATTTATACACAGACTCACATGTCCATGCATTAATTGCTACAAGTACTGATGTCACATACACTTGCGTGCACGTACACGCAGAAGATTGCATTACCTCTTATTCATCATTCATTATACACACACGATAGATACTACAGGATGCTTGCATGAATACAATACATAATGTTACCGGTCATGTACATGCATATTAAATGTTCATGCATGCAGGTACAACATACATGCATGTACATATGTACAGACCTGCCGAACCCTCTACAATAGGAACGCTTCTATAATCAGGAAGGACAGCATGCCACATGCATTACAAACGTGTATTAACAAGAGTCCAAGGCTCTTGGCATTAATGACTGAAAAGATGGACGCTACCATGATCAGCACAGTTTTATTGGGTCTCAAAGTGTACAGGTTTGACTGTCATGTCATTTATACCTATTAGTTATCCTGTCCTGATAGTTCTTGGACCATTCAGCAATTCTCTCATCTTCTTCTTCCTTATGCAACTCAGCCCACCATTCACTATTAGCACTAAACACAAACAGCAATTAAAAACAATATCATTAATAGTCTATGCACATGTATAGTGTCATTCGCAACGCATAGTGTAAAAACCAACAATAATCAGTGCCTAATAATTCAGTTGGCTGTACTTTTAATGCTAATTAATAATCAGAAATCAAAATAATAATTCAAACACGAACATGCATGTAAGACTGTTTCCGCAAATACGTAAATCCCTCATTTCATAGGCTGATTAAAACAGGCAATGTACACGTACATGCATATTAAATCACGATCGAATCACCAATGACTGTTAAAAATCGGAAACAACGAATCCAATGGGAATGCTAGCAGACATTACACTGAAGAGTTGCATTTATAATCTAACTTTCGAAATATCAACAGTATATACATGTACATGGGTAGCTAAAATTATGCAACTCTTTCCTTAAACGTAACATTGATGACACTATCCCACTACACGAGGCTGTCCTTCCACAGTACATGTACATGCCCTGATCACAAACACTCAAGTATAATGTAACATATGCTGGGTTGAAATTACGCAGTGTAAATGCATATGTTCGTGTACCATAGGCTAAGAATGTAATAGGTAAATTATCACTAAAAGAACATTGCTAAACGCACAAAATCAGCACTCGCCCGCCACAACCGGACATGAAGAGTTTAATAGAGTCGCATACATGTCGACTCTAATACCCATGCACACGTGCGTCTTACGATAAATCATTACAATGCTAGATTCTAACCTCTTCCTTCTTGGTTCGAACTTATTAGCTTTTGATGCATTACTATAACACAAAAATGTACTAAATCATACAACTGAATATACTTTGATGGCTTTTTTTTCAGACCCAGGTGCCTCCTTTGCCACGACTCCACCGGCAGCAGCTGATCTATGGGTGTTGCTACTCCTCCTCCTCCAGCTCCACCAGTCGACCGAGGAGTCATTAGTAGCTGTCCAAAATCATCGCTAGACAACTGACCAGCTGTCCTTCTGTATAGCAACGGGTAATAAATAACA